CAAGACCGAGCAGCTCATACCAGACACCCAAAAGTCGACGAGCCATCAGAAGAAGGGACCGCTCAAGGATCCAATTATTGATGATTACCAGCACTTTCAAAATCTGGACGAGGCCTTGGGTCGATTAGGTCTCTCCGACAAGGACAAAATGGGCATTTACACGCTGGTGGCTGCCGTGCTGCATTTGGGCAACATCAACTTTGAGGAGATACCCGACGATGTGCGTGGAGGCTGTCAGGTGTCGGAGTCATCGGAGCAATCACTGTCCATTACAAGCGGCCTGCTGGGCGTAGATCAGACTGAGTTGCGCACTGCTCTGGTGTCGCGCGTCATGCAGAGTAAGGGCGGTGGCTTCAAGGGCACGGTTATCATGTAAGTTAGCTGCAGCTGATCCATTCTATTTGGGTTATCAACATTTGCGTCTCACTTGTAGGGTTCCTCTGAAGATCTACGAGGCGAGCAACGCGCGCGATGCCTTGGCCAAGGCCATTTACAGTCGCCTCTTCGATCGGATTGTGGCTTTGATCAATCAGGGCATTCCCTTCCAGGCATCTAACTTTTACATTGGTGTCCTGGATATTGCCGGCTTTGAGTATTTCACGGTTAACTCGTTTGAACAATTTTGCATCAACTACTGCAACGAAAAGCTGCAAAAGTTCTTTAACGACAACATTTTGAAGAACGAACAGGAGCTGTATAAGCGCGAGGGCCTTAATGTGCCGGAGATTACCTTCACGGACAATCAGGACATCATTGAGCTGATCGAAGCCAAGTCGAATGGCATTTTTACACTGTTGGACGAGGAGTCCAAACTGCCCAAGTCCTCGCCCGCTCATTTCACTGCGGAGGTGCACAAGTCTTGGGCGAATCATTATCGCCTTGGACTGCCGCGCTCCTCGCGCCTTAAAGCGCATCGCACGTTGCGCGATGAGGAGGGTTTTCTGGTGCGTCATTTCGCTGGCGCCGTTTGCTACAACACGGAACAGTTCATTGAGAAGAATAACGATGCATTGCACGCCTCACTTGAGGGCCTGGTGCAGGAGTGCGAGAATCCGCTACTGAAGCTGCTTTTCCCATCCGGCAGCAACACCTCTGTGCGCGGCAAGCTAAACTTCATATCCGTTGGCTCCAAGTTCAAGACGCAGCTGGGCGAACTCATGGAAAAGCTCGAGCAGAATGTGAGTGGTGAACTACAAATGCAATTGTCAGCTAATTTATTTATTTGCAATCACAGGGTACCAATTTCATACGCTGCATCAAGCCCAATAGCAAAATGGTTGATCGCCAGTTCGAGGGCTCTCTGGCGCTGGCACAGCTAAAGTGCTCCGGTACCATATCTGTGCTCGAGCTTATGGAGCATGGATTTCCGTCGCGTGTGCTCTTTGCCGATCTTTACAGCATGTACAAGTCCGTGCTGCCGCCGGAGCTAGTTTCACTGCCGGCACGCACTTTCTGCGAGGCCATGTTCCAATCGCTCAATTTGAGCGCCAAGGATTTTAAGTTTGGCATTACCAAGGTCTTCTTTCGACCGGGCAAATTTGTGGAGTTTGATCGGATAATGCGATCCGATCCGGAGAATATGCTGGCCATTGTGGCCAAGGTGAAGAAATGGCTGATCCGCTCGCGCTGGGTCAAGTCTACGCTGGGCGCACTTTGCGTCATTAAACGTGAGTTATTTAGCCTACATAGAGATTTTCCCCTTGTTGATTTTCGCTTCTATACATTTTCTTCATCTCAGTACGCAATCGCATCATTTATCGCAACAAGTGCGTGTTGACCGCGCAGCGCATTGCCCGCGGCTTTCTGGCACGGAAGCATCATCGTCCACGCTACCAGGGCATTGCCAAGATCAACAAAATACGCACCAACACGTTGAAGACCATCGAAATAGCCAGCGGTCTGAAGCTTGGACGCGATGAGATCGTCGGCGGTGTGAACGATATTTACAGGCAGATTGATGATGCCATTCAAAAGATAAAGGTGCATTTCAATGCCAGCTACTTAAGATTTGTGTATACTGATCTTCCGCTTCCCACAGCAAAATCCTCGCATAACTCAACGCGAAATCGACTCCATGTACACAGTGGTCATGGCCAATATGAATAAGCTGACCGTCGATTTGAACGGAAAGTTGAAGGAGCAACAGCAGGCCGAAGAGCAGGAACGTCTGCGCAAAATTCAAGAATCCCTGGAGGCGGAACGTCGTGCCAAGGAGGCAGATGAACAACGTCTGCGAGACGAGGCTGAAAACAAGCGACTGTTAGTATTGGCTTTGAGCAGTTTTATCTAATGCACTTTACTTACCAAGTGTCTCAATACACAGCAAAGCCGAAATGGAGACCAGACGCAAGGCAGCCGAGGCACAGCGTCTGCGTCAGGAGGAGGAGGATCGACGCGCTGCCCTAGTACTGCAGGCACAGATGGAAAAAGAAGCCAAGGACGATGCCAAGTATCGACAGCAGCTCGAACAGGAACGACGCGATCACGAATTGGCTCTACGCCTAGCCAGCGAATCCAACGGTCAGGTGGAGGATAGTCCACCTGTCATACGCAAGTATGTTACCAACCCAAAAGTCGCACAAATTGAACAGAATTTTAGTATAGGGATATTAGGCCCTTGCAGCATATCGGTGTAAATACGGTGCTGGTAAACAGCAATTTTTTTTTTTTTTAAGATATATACAAATATTTATAAGTATGTAAGGTCACTTCAGCAAGCCCGGTAATCGTTCCACTAGAGTCTCTTTAAATAAGTAGGATATCTCCGATCTATTGATAACCAAAGCTAGTTCAGTATCTCGTTTGTACATATTAGCTAAATTAGTATAGTTATTATAATTAAATATGTATTGATAATTGATGAATAAGAAACTCACCAACTTTTTCCCATCCCCTACACGCCTTCTCTTCCACACAAACCACACCCCCACACAAACCAAACAAAAACAACCAAACAACCAACAAAACACAGTGGTGGTCTCAGTGACGCGTCTCCCGTGGGTTCCAACAAACTGATCAGGTATAGCACGCTTTATGAATTTTGTTCTTTGTTTTAAAAATAAAAATATTGTTCTCTTGCTTTCTGAAAACGCTTTTACACAAACTAATTGGATTCTAAATCTTAAAAAAAAAAAAAAAAAAACGAACAAAAAATATTACTTTACTTCTGCTTTACTTTTCTATATAATGTATTTGATGAACAAGTTTTTCACAAGTTGTGTCAAACATTGCTTCGCGATATTTAAATAAGTGAGTTGGTGCTGGTTTTGAAAACTTTTTATATTTAACAAATAACTAACACCTCTATGTAAAGTATGCGACTATCATTCACACTAATTGATCTGTAATAATGTATAAATATAAATTGGCCATTAGTTGTAGAATTTTTTAACCATTTTTAAAAACTCTTTTGTAAACGTAATAAGCATAAAAACCCATCAATAACTCACTTTTCGTACGCATTTCGATGGATTTTCATATATTAAGAGACTATTATATATTTATTAATACTGTTGCATTCATTAGATCGGAGAACGTGCGCGCTCAGCAACAAGCACTTGGCAAACAGAAGTACGACTTGTCCAAATGGAAGTACTCGGAGCTGCGCGATGCCATCAACACGTCCTGTGATATTGAATTGCTTGAGGTAATTTCGGTTCTTTTAAGCTTAAATCAATTGCTAATCTTTGGTACTGTTGCAGGCCTGTCGCCAGGAGTTCCATCGCCGCTTGAAGGTATATCACGCCTGGAAGGCAAAGAATCGCAAGCGCACTACCATGGATGAGAACGAACGTGCGCCGCGAAGCGTCATGGAGGCCGGTAAGTGCGGCATATCAAGGAATTCGTAATACGTATAAGAAATATATATACTTATATATTTTTTGCAGCTTTCAAACAGCCGCCAATTGTGCAGCCCATACAGGAAATTGTGTCGGCTCAGCATCGCTATTTCCGCATACCCTTTATGCGAGCCAATGCGCCCGATAATAGTAAGTGCCCGAATGCTTTCGACTGGGTTTTTATTTAATCTCGTATTGGCTTCTATTTTAGCTAAACGTGGATTGTGGTATGCACACTTTGATGGGCAGTGGATTGCACGGCAAATGGAGCTGCATGCGGACAAGCCGCCTATTTTGCTGGTTGCCGGCACAGACGACATGCAAATGTGTGAGCTGAGCCTGGAGGAGACGGGCCTGACGCGCAAGCGCGGTGCCGAAATACTTGACCATGAATTCAATCGCGAATGGGAGCGCAACGGGGGCAGGCCCTACAAGAGCCTTGGTGCTAAGCCGAATGGAGCAGGCATTTAAACACAATCAGCTATAGACATTCATTAATTGTGAACGTGACGAAACGATAGAAACAAATGCAGATAAACAAACAAATTCGCCGTTTGATCATTGGTCCTGGACGACGGGTCAAAATTAGCAGTCGGTACAAAATTCCATAAATATTTTTTCAAAACTTTTGATAAAAACCACGTCCAAAAATTTATGCTTAAAAAAAGATAATACATAAATTATAAATGTGAACAATTTTTTTTCTTCAACTATATACATTTCAATAGCATACGGATTGCGTTTTAATCGCCCATTGAGCGCCAGCTGAACGCGTTCATCTATATGTATTCCATATATATGCGTATTTTTTCAATTAGTTAAGTAAATGTGTAATACGATTTAAAAAGGAAACGGCAAGTTGTATTTAGTGTTTAATGAAATTCTATTAAAATATGTATTTAAATATAACTGCGTATATTTTACAGTATTTTAAATTAAACATTCAATGCTCGAAATATTTTGGTTTTTCTTTTTCTTTTCCAAGGAAACGGTACCCATAAGTACATTAAAAAGTTTAAATACAATATATATAAATATACAAAGATTTTATTTGAATTTTAACGGAAAACGCAAATTTGAGTTTGCAACAGCTGTTGCGCTTTCTCCGATAACTTTCGATAACAGTTCACAATAGCTGTGAATGCTCTGAGTCAGGTGGCAACTACGCTGCACGTGTGTTTGTTTACAACGATGTCACGAAAAACATGGAGCTCTCTGGACAAACCGCCGCTTTCCGAGCCAGTGCTGGAGGTCCTACAGGAGTTTGGCTTTAAGCTAATGACACCTGTGCAAACAGCAGCAATTCCACTGCTGCTGGCACGCAAAGATGTCTCCGCCGAGGCTGTCACAGGCAGTGGCAAAACGTTGGCATTTCTTGTGCCTCTGCTGGAGATTCTGCAGCGTCGACACAAGGAGACGCCTTGGGGTGCAAAGGAAATCGGTGCACTTATAATTTCGCCCACACGTGAACTGGCACGCCAAATCTCAGAGGTGTTGGCGCAGTTTCTGGCTCACGATGAACTGGAGCACTTGAATCAGCAGCTAATCGTTGGCGGCAATAGCATTGAGGAGGACATTGCCGCATTAAAGCAACAGACGCCTTGCATACTGGTGTGCACGCCGGGTCGCCTTGAGGATTTGTTTCAACGTAAAGGTGACGATTTAAATTTGGCAGCACGTGTCAAGAGCCTGGAGTTCCTGGTGCTCGACGAAGCAGACCGTCTGCTGGACTTGGGCTTCAAGACAAGCGTAAATAACATATTGGGCTATCTGCCGCGGCAGCGACGCACAGGTCTCTTCTCGGCCACACAGACCACCGAGGTAACAGATTTAATACGTGCTGGCCTGCGTAATCCTGTGTTAGTCTCCGTGAAAGAGAAGGCCTCGGTCAACACGCCGGCGCGTCTTCAAAATTTCTATAAAATTGTGCAACCAGAGCAAAAGTTTCTGGCCTTACTGCAATTTCTACGCTCGCCCACCTCCAGCTCCGGCAAAGTAATGGTGTTCTTTCCCACATGCGCCTGCGTTGAGTACTGGGCGGAGATGCTGCCGCCATTGCTGCCGGAGCGCAGTGTGCTAGGGATACACGGAAAGATGAAGAACAAACGTGCCAGCGTTGTGGAGCGTTTCCGCAGCGAGCCACAGGCGGTGCTGCTGTGCACAGATGTGTTGGCGCGTGGTCTGGATGTGCCCGAAATTGATTGGGTGGTGCAGTGGGATCCGCCGTCCAATGCCTCCAGTTTTGTGCATCGTGTTGGACGCACCGCTCGGCAGGGCAACGAGGGAAATGCTTTGGTATTTTTGCTGCCAACCGAGGATGCATACATTCAGTTCCTAAAACTGAATCAAAAGGTTGATCTGAGTGAGCTCCAAGAAGAATGTGTGGCGCCACAGGAAACGGAGTTAAAGCCGTTAGTGGAGCAACTGCATCGACTGCAGGAAGCTGACAAAGGCGCCTACGATAAGGGAATGCGAGCCTTTGTCTCCCACGTGCGTGCCTACACCAAGCACGAGTGCAGTGCCATTTTGCGCCTGAAGGACCTGGATCTGGGCAAAATGGCCACTGCCTACGGACTGCTGCAGCTGCCTCGCATGCCGGAACTGAAAAACTACCAAGGCGATGGCTTCATGGCACCCAGTTTTGAAGTCGACCTCACCAAGCTGACCTACAAGAACGCGCAAAAGGAGCAGGCGCGCAAGCAAAAGTTGCAAACGTACGAACAGACAGGCAGTTGGCCAGGTCGCCAGAAGCAGCACATGAAACGCACCGAGTCATGGGATCAAACCAAGAAAGCCAAGCTGGATGCCAAGTCAAAGAAGGAGCTGCGCAAGGCCAAAAAGGAGCGCAAGCGGAAAGCGGAAGCAGGCGAAGGCGGCTCACAGCGCAAGCGGAAACAGCAATACACGCAGGAAGAACTGGATGAACTGGCCAGCGATATACGGCTCTTCAAGCGACTCAAAAAGAAAAAAATCACCGATGAGGACTTTGACAAGGCCATGGGCATTGATGTTGACGACGACTGAAATGAGTAATTAGGCTTACAAATATGTTGATCATAAATAATATCTAAGATCAGTTGTCGAAGATTAAATACCCTTTGTGTTTATATTGTTTTGTTTCTATGGGAGCTATGATATATTAAACCGATTTAGCCCTGACAGAGTCTGCTCGTCGTCCTGATCACGCCATATGTATACATAATGTGGGGTCGGAGATACCTCCTTCCATACATATAACAATTCGTAAGACATAAGGATTTAAAAAACATAAATTAATTGGCGTTTAACACTAACTCTCAATACTGTTTGAATTGAGTAGAAAACTTTCGCGTTTTTCTTTATTTCCAATTAAACGAAAATCTAAGACTTACTAATTTACATATAAATGCTTATTTGGCCGCATCCTGATTTGTTGCACCAGAAATGAAGACCAATAGAACAACAGGCACAATGTACATCCAGTATTTGGCAAAGAAGCCTCTATTATCACGCACCTCGCCGCGCTCCCTGGCCTCACGCTCACGTTCGAATTTCTGTATAAAGCTGCCAGTGTCGGGCACCGGTGCCAGTTCAGCATGTCGAATTATAACATCAGAGCTGAAATTCTTCTCATTGATTTGCTGCAAATCTTCAGCTGAACATTCGGTGCTCTGGGGTGCCGGATCCTGTGCAGCAGTGATGCCCGTTACGTAGCCGTTGGGATCGAGGGATATCCAGAGCACATCATTGAATTGAGCCAACAGCAGGCTGCAGGCTTTGCTGGAAGTCAAAAAGCGCTGGCTACTGCCATTGGGATAAATGACCGTTGCCCTTAAGCGATAGAAACCATTTTGTTTGGCCAGGATCTTAACGCTTTCTAGCTCACTATCCGTTAATGGATTTTGCACCACGGTCGACAGGCCCGAGTTCAGACTTGGTATGGAGATATTGCCCCGATGTGAAAAGTGCTCCGGCCTGGATGACGACAGGGAATGGTGCAAATCAATCGTTATCCAGCTATCATGCTCCAAGAAGCTTCTTCCACTGGCCAACAAGCTGAGCAAAACGATTATCAAATAGCTCACTTTTAGAAACATTTTTGGCAGTATTTTATGCTTTTTGCCTGAAAGAGCGATGCGTTTTTTTCAACTTTTCAAGGGATGTTGCTTACAATTACTTACTTCTGTCTATCTTTAACAAGTCACTAATTTGCGGCCCATATGATTTTCACTACCTTCATAACTATCGATAGTTTGAATTGCTTATCGATTATTATTGCCAGAGATGGGCGTTCTCACAATTTTGAGTTCGCGTCTTTAAGAGACTGAAATTTCTAAATATCTCAAAATGTGATTAAGAAACTTCGTGCAGGGCCTGCCGTGTAAGTTAGTTTTGATTAAGTTGTATAATTTTCCTAGATTTTTGCACAGAAACATCATAATTGTCACAGTCACTGCTACCTCATGCCTGGTATTCACAGTTACTTTCATATATATATACACCACATGTTGCAATCGATTATACATGTGAAGGAAGCGCAGCCTTGCGAAGTTTATTTACATTGATATATTTAAAATTGACCCAACATACTAGCATAAGAAACAAAATCAGAAGCTTCTGAAAAGCCGGAGCACCATGGGCAAAACATCGAAGGATAAACGTGATATTTATTATCGCCAAGCCAAAGAGGAGGGCTGGCGGGCGCGAAGTGCTTTCAAACTAATGCACATCAACGAACAATTCGGTATACTGAATGGTAAGCTCTTTATTATTTACACGTCACATATTAATGCTCAGCCTAACTGCTTTCCAGATGTGCGACGCGCTGTAGATCTCTGCGCTGCACCCGGCAGCTGGTCCCAGGTGCTCTCGCGCAAGCTCTTCGACTCCTGCCTAACGGATGATGAGAAATCGGAAGTGAAAATAATTGCAGTAGATCTGCAGGCGATGGCGCCCATTCGTGGTGTCATACAGCTACAAGGCGACATTACCAAGGAGAGCACGGCAGAGGCCATCATTGCGCACTTTGGCAACGACGCTGACCAGAAGGCCCAGCTGGTCGTGTGCGATGGTGCACCGGATGTAACTGGCGTCCACGAAATGGACGAGTATATGCAGAATCAGCTGATTGTCTCCGCACTGAGTATTGCCACATTTGTGCTGGAAACGGGTGGCACATTTGTGGCCAAAATATTTAAGGGCAATGCCAACAGCCTACTCGAATCGCAGATGCTCACGTTCTTTGAGAATTTTCACATCTACAAGCCGCCTAGTTCCCGTCCATCGAGCATTGAAGCTTTCGTCGTGTGCACCGGTTTTCGTCTGCCCATTGGCTACATTCCGCAGATTATCAACCCGGCACGGGACGATATCAGAACACTCGCACGAAAAACTGGCTCCAAGGTCAATCAACGCCTGGTGCCATTCATTGCGTGTGGTGATTTGAATGGTGATGTTGAAGATTCAGTGTCAGACCTTGAAGACTTTACCTCAGACGATTATGAACTGGCCTACGATGATATGATAAACGATCCGGAATTTCCCGATGAATTCAAAGACGAGCTAGAAGATGTGTTCTTAGATGAAATCGCAATAAGAAACATACAAAGTGTTCGAGCCAAATGCCTTTGGTAGTAGACCCTTCCACTTTTGATAAAAATAAAACTTGATGCAAAAAGCCTAAACACAATCTTATTACTTATCTATAAAAATGTTAGATACATAACCAAATCTTTATTGGACATACATAAAATGGGAAACAAAACGTGTATGGTGAGACTAAAATTAAATGAGATTTAAAACGTGAATATGTTCAGGTAAACTCTTGGTAATTTAGGCAGCGCCATCGACCACAATCTGCAAAATGGTGCGTCGCTTGGGATCGTAGGAGAAGCCATTGCTACGAAACAGTTCCGAATCGTAGAATGGCTTTAGATTGCTGATATCCAGCTGCTTGGCACGCTCTATCAAGTCGCGCTCCATGATCTCCACATGCGTGGCGCTGGGCCCGTCCTTGCAGCGTATGTAGGCCAGCTGATCGAGTGTCAGTTGGCGCAATATGAAAAACAGCAGTTCCGAGTGATCCTTCTGGAACGCCAAATACTTTTGGAATGTGTTGCGCATCTTCTTCATTACGCTGAACTTTTGCGTCTCAATGAAACTCTCGAGCATCATGCGTATGGCCATGCTAACATCGGCCTCCAAAACATTCTCACGCAGATGCAGACGAGCGTGCGCCTCGGCCATGCGGATGACGCTCTCGATGTGACGTACCGTTATAGGTAGCGAACCAGTCGCAAAGGACTCCTGACGCAGCTGTGCGTACATCTTGGCAATCTTGTCCTCATCAATGTTCTATGAAAATAAAGAAAATAATTGAGCTATTGTAGTCCGAGGAAGTTTTAGAGTTTGGGGGGACCTACTGTTAGCTTTGGTCGTATATTCTCCTTGGCATACACAATGTATTGACGCAGCAAGTCTTGTGGTATCTCCTCCACAGACTTATGTTGCGGCTCCTCCAGTTCTGGTTGTTCCTCTTCGCTGGGATGATGCTTCATGTGTGAATGCACCACAAACTTTGCCAGCTGCTGGTCCTGCATGGGATCAAACTCATCCTTGACCACGCACAGTATATCGAAACGCGATAGAATTGGCTCCGAGAGATTCACATTTTCCGAGAAGGTCATCGAGGGATCATAGCGACCCCCAATAGGATTGGAAGCAGCTATGACCGTGCAACGTGCCTGCAGTGAGGTGACAATGCCTGCCTTGGATATGGAAATGGTCTGTTGCTCCATGGCCTCGTGAATGGAGGTGCGGTCCTGATCGTTCATCTTGTCAAACTCGTCGATCAGGCAGACGCCCTGATCGGCCAGCACCAGTGCGCCAGCCTCAAGCGTCCACTCCTTGGACACGGGATTGCGACGCACATAGGCGGTCAGACCCACAGCACTGGCACCTTGACCGGTCGTAAACACGGCGCGTGGTGCAATCTTCTCCGTGTACTTTAAAAACTGCGACTTTGCCGTGCCCGGATCGCCGCAGATGAGCATATTGATGTCGCCACGCACCTTGTGCTTGTCACCTGGATTCTTGGACTCGCCACCGAATAGAGCCAGCGCAAGAGCGCGTTTGATATAGTCATGACCATAAATGGATGGGGCCATGGATGCCACAATACGCTCGGCAACGCGTGGATCTTTGCTCAGCTTTTGTATGGTGGCAATGTCCTCGTCAGTCAGCGATTGCACCACCTGCTTGGAGTCCTTGACCACCACGTGGTTGGCTATAATGACCGTAGCAAATACGGGGAAACCCTGATCCGTATTAAGCGAGCCGTCATAGTTGTTTGTATAGATGCCAGTGACCTCCAGTTCATCGCCGGGCTTGCATTGATCGCACAGATCGGCGAGCAAAATGACGTCCTTGCTGCGCGGTATGCGACCGGCAGGTATGCGTCCCGGGGATTCCTGTAGCGTGATTTTCTGATAGTTGCGATACAACGTCTGCTCCATGTTGATGGAAAAGGGTCCTGTGCTCTGGCATTCCGGGCAAGAGCCAGGCTTAACTTCCGTGTTCTGCGACTGTACAAACGGACCCAAAACATAACCGCACTTGACACAATCGTACTTAATGACTGAGAGTTGCGGCAGCACGCCTGTTGTGGCCGTGACCACGCCCAGGGTGCGTACCAGCTGATTGAGATGCAGCTTACGGAAGGTGCGCAGCTCCTCGATCAGCGGCAGCTCCGAGATGCGGACATGAATTTCCGTGGTGACGCGTTCGTACGTCGGAAAAATGGACAGCACCATGTCTTTGGCCACTTTATCGAAAATTTCAAGCATCTGGAATGGCGCCTCGGGCAGAAAGTATGCCAGCACATGCTCCTTGTTGGCCAAATCCGTGTAGGACACGACAAATGAGGATTTGTTTTGCTCGCACATGCGACGAATGCGATCACGATACGTATATGCGCCACGTTCATCCACAAAGGTGCGCAGAAAAGATTGGAAACGATTCGCAATCTCGGTACGCGGACCAAGCATGCTCACCCATTCTTTGGTCGAGTGGCCCTTGGTATCCTCCAAGTTTTCAATGGACTCAATCATTTCCGTGTCTTCTACTTCGC